CCGGGGAGGGATATCTCTGATCTCTCCCCCGGTCCGCAGGCACATTCCAGGGCTAGCACCTGCATGTGCTGCTGGCAGAGGAGAGGGAGACCGGCGGATTTCTCGGGGGGGGCAATTGCCCCGTTGCCCCCCCCTGGATCCGCCACTGCTCTGGCCACTCACAAGGCCAGTGCAAAGATTTTTGCCGCCCTAGGCAAAAAAAAAAATAATTGCCTCCCCATTCGTTCCACCCACTCATGCAGACTTACCTACACTGACCCATACACATGCACACACTAACCCCCCCACACACACACACAACTGATCCAGACACGCAGACCCATACACACAGAGACCAATGCATACACACAGACCCATACATACACACACACAGACCCATACACACATACAGAGATCCATACATACACACAGACAGACCCTTACATACACATACACAAACAGACAGACCCATACATACACACACACATACGGACCCATACAAACACACAGATTCATGCAGACTGGCACACATTCTTTCTCTGAAACACACACTGCGAGTCCTCTCTTAATTGCCCTTTGCTCTTCGTTCCTGTAATTTTTACTACGCCCAGAGGCCGACACTTTCAGCCCCATTTCATGTAAATCTCCTGCCCACTTGTTTCCACATACAGGGCAAGGGACTGGAGCCAGCGAATAATGCGCCCTTGCACTGCCGTGGTGCTCGTCTGGATGCAGGGCCGACGTTCTACCGGGTGCTAGTCTACAAGTAAGTGCTACCTAGCACCCGGTAAAGTGGCCGTGGCAATCGCAGCCCACTCTGCATAATCAGTTCAACTTGATAGGAGGGCCAGCTAGACAAGCAGTAAAGCCACTGCCAGCACCCCCCTTAAGAAGCGCCCTAGGCGGTCGCCAAATCAGCCTATAGGATGCGCCGGCTCTTCCCACTCATACCCATAAAATGAAAGTATCCTTCTTTGTCCAATTGAAATGTTGATAGGTAAGCTTCACTGCAAGGCCTGTGCAAGACTATTTTTCACCCTAGGTAACCTGCACCACCCAAAAACAAAAATTGACAATCTCTTTTAGTCTCTTTATTACCCCAACCCTTTTATGTGTTCTTTCTCCCCCAACTCCTTTGTGTGTCTCATCCCCCAACACCTTTGTGGATCTCATTATCCTCCATCTCCTCTGTGGGTCTCTTTCTCCCCCACCCCTGTTTTGTGTCTCTGTCTCCCCCAAGCACCTTTTTGTGTCTATTTCTCCCCACAGGCTCTTTTATGTCACTTTCTCCTCCCAGACCCTCCCCCCCACTTCCTTAGCTAGGAATATTTTTCGCCTTGGTTAGACCAGCTACTTGCACCCCACCCGCAAAAAATAATAATTTGTGTGTCTCATTCTTCTACAGCCCTTGTATTTTTCTCTTTCTCCCCAACTCCTTGGTGTGTATCCCCCCCCCACCCCTGCCAGCCCATGTGTGTGTCTCTTGTTCCCCACCCAGCCACTCTGGGGTTCTCTTTCTGCCACAATATCTTTTTGTGTCTCTTTCTCCACAGCCCCTTTTTGTGTCTCTTTCTCACACAAGCCCCTTTGTGTGACTCTTTGTCCCCCAGTCCCTCTGTTTGTCTCTTTGCCCCCCAAGGTCCTCTGTGTGTTTATTTGTTCCCCAACCATTTGTGTGTCTTATTCTCACCTTCCCCAACCCCTCTGTGTGTCTCTTTGCCACAGCTTTGTGGGTCTCTGTCTCCACCCTCAGCACTCTGTCTGCCTTTCTTCTTTGTCTCTTGTAGTCCCTTGTACCCATCAGTGCTCTGTGTGCCTCAGGGTTAAGCCTGCCTCTAGTGGCTAGCTAGAAGAGAGTCACTAGAAGAGCTTTGTGTTTGACTTTGGAGTTTGACTTTGTGAAATGGTGCTGGATGTCCTTGTGCTTTGTATGAGGATGGTCAGTGTGTTGAAAATCCCCATAGGAAAGCATTGGTTCAATTCTTTTCTATAGGGAAATCCTAATGCATGCATATTAGGTTCCTCCTATTGGCTGACATTGGAAGAAGAGGAGGGACCTTTGGCGCTGGAATCAGTTACATTTTAAAAGAGTTTTTAACCCTTCCATGTTGCGGGGGAGAGTACCGTAAGGTGTGCCAGGGTAGAAGGTTAATATAGTGTTAAAAATACGGCATTGTATTTCTAACATTATAGTGTTCCAATAAGCAAAACTAAAAAGAGCTGAACAGGAAGAAAAAACAGCTTGAATATGAGGCCAAAATCACATGCACTTAAATTGTGCTTGTGCCCATTGCCATATATATATACAGGGCCGGTGCAAGGATTTTTGCCGTCCTAGGCAAAAGTAAAGTTTGCCGCCCTCCCCCCCATGTGACATCACAATGCCCCACCCATATGATCTGCCATATGAACTAACGCCAGTGCTGCACACAGTGTGTGTTTACATTAAAAAGCCTGCAGGGACCGGCTATAGACACCAGAACCACTTCATTAAGCTGAAGTGGTTCTGGGGACTATAGTGTCCCTTTAATGTGAGGTAAATTATAGATAAGTGTCACTAATAATATAATAGATTTCCTACTTACAACCAGATGAGGATGATGATGGACTGCAGTTTGGCTCCACTGGTCTGGTGTAGAACAGGCTAACCCGGCTGTTTGTAACTGTGGTCACAAAAATCAATGTTCTGGGAGAACGGGAAGCAGCTCCATTTTTTGGGGGCCCTTTACACAGCTCAAGGTCTGGGTCCCAGGGTCCACCTTCATGTTCCACCAATGAGTTTGTTCACAGGGGGTGGAGTGTGTAGGGGATGTCCTGATATGTAAGGAATGCGTTGTGTGAATCTGTGTTTGTACGTGTAAGGGCTGCAAGGTGTGTTTCTGTGTATGTACGGGATGCAGTGTGTGCGTCTGTAAGGGGTGCATTGAGTGTGTGTAAGGAATGCATTGTGTGTTTCTGTTTGTGTAAGGGCTGCAAGGTGTGTTTTCTGTGTATGTACGGTATGCAGTGTGTGCGTCTGTAAGGGGTGCATTGAGTGTGTGTAAGGAATGCATTGTGTGTTTCTGTTTGTGTAAGGGTTGCATTGCTTGTGTGTGTGTGTGTGTGTCTGTGTGTTTAATGCATTGTGTATTTTTCTGTGTGCAAGGGGTGCATTGTCTTTGTTTGTAAGGGGTGCATTGTGTGTGATTGTGTGTATGTGATGGATGTCAATCTCTCCCCCCTCCCTCTCCCCCCTCCCTTGTCACTCTCTTCCTCCCTCCTCCCTCCCCACTCTCATTCCCCCTCCCTCCCCTGTCACTCTCACCCACCTGTCAATTTCTTTCTCTCCCCACCAATTTCTCCCACACCTTCTTTTCTCTCCCTCTCTTTTGGTTTCAATTTCTTTTCCCCCTCTACCTCCTCCTGTCAATTTCTTTTCCGCTCACAAGTTTTCTCCTCCCTCTCCCTGCTGTACCTCTTTTCTCCCCCAATAATTTCTTTTCTGCCCTCTCTGTCAATTTATTTCTCTGTCAATTTATTTTTTATCCCTCTATCAATTTCTAGCTCTTCTACCACCTCCTCACAATTTCTTTCTCCCTCCCTGGCTTAATTTTTTCTCCCTCCCTGGCTAATTCCCTTTTTCTCCCCCGCCATAATTTTTTTTCTCCCCTCAATTTATTTTCCTCCTGTCAATTTCTTTTCTCCCCATCACTTTTCCTCTGTCAATTTATTTCTCATGCCTCTTTTCTCCACCTCCCCTCTCCTACCTATTTGTAGCGTGCTGGAGCTCTGTATGGTCCGCGGGTACAGGGAGCTTTTGTTTCCGGCCGGACTAAAAGGAAGTGCACACTTAGTGTTAGTCCGGCCGGGTCCCTGTACCCGCGGACCATACAGAGCTCGACCACGCTACAGTGAGGGAGTGACAGGAGGAAGCACTGAGCGCTTCCCTCCTGTCAGCCCCTCTCCTCATGATGCGCCCGGGTGCGGCGCCCTCATGGACGCACCAGCCCGGGCAAAGCTGCAGCCACCTGAGGCTCTCTACCAAGGGGCGCCCTAGGCGGCGGCCTAGTCCACCTAACAGGTAGCGCCGGCCCTGTATATATATATATATACATATATATATATATATATATATATATATATATGTGTGTAGATATCATACTACAATTGACTATACATCTTGCCATTGTTAGGCAAGAGGATAAACTGCAACAATGGCAGGAACCTAATCCAATCATACAAAGCAAACACACATAGTGTATACAGTCAAAAAACAATAAACAATATACATGTTATATATGAAAAAATTTTGTACAAAGCTCTATAAATAAGGCTCCAATGTTCCAATACTGGAAAAAACAGGATGCGCATTTCTTCAATAATAAATGCTTTATTATATAAAAACTAAATATAAAAACAAATGTAGCAAAAATATTGACTGTTGTTTAGCAGCATATGACTAGTAATAGGTAACAGAAAATAGTCAAAAAAAACAATGGTATACACCACTGCACAGTCCACAAAAGTCCCAAACCAAATAATAAGTTGCATGCACATTTAGACATATTAACTCTTCATAAGTGTCAAATAAACTTGTTCTTTGATGTTTCTTTCTTTTAAATTTCCCTTTTGATGGATGATTCGGTGCAGCTGTTAACAAATAACATCCCTCTTCTTGGTCCAGTGTGTGTCGCATCACTTCCAGCACCATTCTGGTGATGTTGCTTCTGCTACGTCATACTAAAGCGGTACTGCGTTTTGATAGCCAGGCAACCAGATCGATAAATAGTCTGCTGGCCATTTTAGAATCGAGGAGACTGCCTATCAACATATACATAATGCGATACAAATACATTGAAATAAAATAAAACAAGCATACGGTACCAATAATGTGAGGGGGGGAAAGTAAGCTAGAGATCAGGAGAATGTATCTATGTAATATGTAAAATAGAATCAAAAGATTAAAATAAGCAACTCCAATGTGTATTATCTTAAAAAACTAATATATTAGGAAAACAGTGAATAATTAAACACCCATAATGGTGAATTCAAAACTTGTACTCACAGTTGTAAAGAAACATTAGCTATTGTTTTTATTCTACTATATTGCTGATTTGATGGTAGGGGAATCACCTAATTTCATACACCTATTTACAAACTATTTGCTATTGCCGCAGAAGCATGTATACACCTTTTTGTTGTTTTTTATTCTAACTGTTTTACCTAAGTCTCATATAATACACAACTCCTGTCACAGGCACTTACTAGTTCTCACATATTTTGCTTCCTGCTAATAAACTAGAGATTAAACAATATAAGAGAGTGCAAATAGGCAAAATAAAAGAAAAATCTATACTAAATAGTATGAATTAAATATTTAGAAAGCCACCAGATACCAAAAAGTTCCCAAGTTTCAGATATAATACAAGAAAAAACACAAAGTAGTATCAGCGCTTAGCAGACATTCCCCTATGTGACGAGACCAATCTCGCCACATTGCATTGGAGAAGCCTGGTTGCTCGCCTGTTCCCTTTGGACTATGGCCCCATGTTAAAAGCCTTCTTTTCCCCTGCAGAAAAGGCTTATTTAACCGGATGCCGTATGAACAGCATTACCCCAGATAGCCATCCCGTGGAGTCTATTCGTATGAAGCACAGACTTTGTGAACACTTTAACTCCACGGCGATTGGACTGTGTGCATAGGATCTGAGTGCTATTCTGTACTTTTGTGCGCTCAGATCTAAGCTATCTGGGGATAGGTAGAATGTATATGTTTTGTGCAACAGTTGTAACTTTATACATTTTTAAGTCTTTTACTCTCTTTTACTGCCATGTGGTTAATGGAGTTTTGCCTCTGTCCTGGGAGATAATTGGATTTCTTCCCAATTATCTCCAGGACAGAGGGAGGGAAGTTAGGATGCATTGTGGGGATGTTTTACCTCTGTGTGTCTGTCATTGGTTCACGTCTGTCCTTTGTCACAGTCTCCCATTTGGTCGCCTAGGGGAGTGTCCACCAGGTGGGAGACCAGCATAAATACTGGGCAGGTAGCCCTCATTAAACCAGACCTCTGCTTGACCCTCAACACGGAGCTCTGTCTCGTTCTTGGGGGGATTTACTGTATGCTGATAGAGACTGATTGCTAGGAGTGTAAACCGCTTGCGTGCTTTTCTTGTTCGTCTGCTAGCAGCTATACGTGAGGTTCCAGTTCGGGAGTTTGGAGTGCTACTTTGTATGCAGTTCGGGAGTTTGAAGCATTCCCTTGTATGGAGTTCGGGTGTTTGGAGCATTCCCTTGTATGCAGTTCAGGAGTTTGGAGCATTCCCTTGTATGCAGTTCGGGAGTTTGGTGTTCTGCAGTAGCTGTGCCTGTATCTTTGGAAGGGGAAGATCTACTAAACGGCAGTTTAACCCTTTTATGCCTGGGGGTACCGTTACACCCTATATAACAGAAAGTGGGGGGAAAAAAGAAAATAAGTCCAGAATGTTAGAGTCCCAATATATATGGCTTATATATAAAAAAGGGTATTTCCAAGTGTTTTAAAATATAGTAGTTATATACAGGGCTGGCCTTAGGGGTGTGAAAGCTGTGCAGCCACACCTACCCTCTGTGCCCCCTGCTACTCTACCTACCCACTGTGCCCCCTGCTATCCAATGTGCCCCCTGCTACCCCACCTAGCCACTGTGCCCTGCTCCCCCAGCTACCCACTGTTCCCCCTGCTCCCCCACCTACCTACTGTTCCCCTTGCTCCCCAGCTACCACCACTGTGCCCCCTCTACCCCAGCTACCCTCTGTGCCCTGCTCCCCCATCTTCCTACAGTGCCTCTGCTCCCCAGTTACCCACTGTGCCCCTGCTCTCCTACCTACCACTACACTACCCCTGCTCCCCCAGTTACCCGCTGTGGCCCTGCTCTCCTATCTATCACTACACTGCACATGCTCCCCCCACTATGCCCCCTGTTCCCCCACCCACCACCACACTACCTCAGCTCCCCCACCTACCACCACTGTGCCCCTGCTCCCCAACCTACCAATACATTACCCTTGCTCCCCCACCTACCACCACTGTGCCCCCTGCTCCCCTACCTACCACTACACTGCCCCTGCTCCCCCAGCTACCACTACACTACCGCTGCTCCCCCTTGTTCCCACCTACCACTACACTACCTATGCTCCCCAACCTACCAATACACCACCACTGTGCCCCCAGCTACTACCACTGTGCCCCCTGCTCCCACACCTACCACTACACTGCCGTGCTCCCCCACCTACCACTACACTACTGCTGCTCCCTCACCCTCCTCCACTTTGCCTCCTGCTCACCACCTACCAGTACACAACCTCTGCTCTTCATATCAGCACACATATCACCAGTGGTGTATCATGGTTTTGTGCTGCCCTAGGCAGGACAAAACTCAGGCGCCCCCCAAACCCCCGCGCGCGCGACCCCCACCCATCCCTTCCCCCCCGCGTGCGCGACCCCCACCCATCCCTTCCCCCGCCTTCTAAATACACACACACTCACTGACAGATACGCGTACACTAGCTAACAGAAACACAAACTCACTGACACACACAGTCAAACACACACACTCACTAGCAGAGACACACTCACTCACAGACACACTCACACACACAGACAGACACACACACACACACTAACAGACACACACACACACTTACAGACACACACACTCACTAACACTCACACACACTCTGACACACACTCACTAACAGATACACACTCACTAATAGACACACACACACTCACTAATAGACACACATACACACTCACACTCACTGACACACACACACACACACACCTCACCAATAGACACACACACACTCTAACACACACCCACTAACAGACACACACACACACTCACTAATAGACACACACACACCACCACCAGACACACACCTCACCAACAGACACACACACCAACAGACACACACACACACACACCTCACCAACAGACACACACACCAACAGACACACCACACACACCTGGACACACCCACCAATAGACACACACACACACCTCACCAACAGACACACACACCTAACACCTCACCAATAGACACACCTCACACCACTAACAGACACACCTCACACCACCAATAGACACACTCACACCACTAATAGACACACCCACCAACAGACACACACACTCTAACACACACCCCACCAACAGACACACACACTCCACTGACACACACACCCACACCTCACTCAACAGACACACACACACACACACACCAACAGACACATACACACCTCACCAATAGACACACTCACACTCACCAACAGACACACACACACCAACAGACACACCACACCCACTAACAGACACACACACCTCACACACACACACACACCAACAGACACACACACCACCAATAGACACACACACTAACAGACACACACACCCACTAATAGACACACCACACCTAACAACAGACACACACACTCTAACACACACCACTAACAGACACACACACACCTCCTCACACTCACCAACAGACAGACACACACACTAACAGACATACACACACACTCACTAATAGACACACACACTAACAGACACACACACTAACAGACACACACAATAACACACACTCACTAACAGACACACACACTAACACACACACACACACACTAACACACACACACTAACAGACACACACACACTAACACACACACACTAACAGACACACACTAACAGACACACACTAACAGACACACACACTAACAGACACACACTAACAGACACACACACTCACATTAACACATGTACTTTTTAAACCTCCCCCCTCCCCCTCCAGCCTCCTTACCTTTGGGAGTGCTGGGGAGGGAAGGGGTTCTCTATCTCCCTGGTGGTCCAGTGGCTGCTGGGTGGGCAGCATTGGCGGGCGGCTGACGAGGGAGCTCTTCCTGTGAGCTGACTGCTCAGCTCCCTCGCGCGCCGCAGAGTGAGGCTGGGAGCCGGGATATGACGTAATATCCCGGCTCCCAGCCTCACTCTGCGGCGCGCGAGGGAGCTGAGCAGTCAGCTCACAGGAAAAGCTCCCTCGTCAGCCGCCCGCCTGCCCGCCAATGCTGCCCTGCGCCCAGCATGTCTGTTAGCTGCGAGGCTAACAAGACATTTGCCGTGGGCATTTGGGGGGGGGCGTTTTTTGCCGCCCCCTGAAAAATGCCGCCCAAGGCAAATGCCTTGTTTGCCTCGCGGCTAAAACGCCCCTGCATATCACACACATCCAATACACGCATATATCACACACAGTCAATACAACAATTACAAATATTACACACAGCAAACACATAGCATACATATCACACACAGCCATCACTCCTATCACACACAGACACCACACACTACATCATACTATTATGAGATTTATTACAGCAGAGCTCTCTCATACAAAATGCAACATGTAACTGTCCTCCGAGCTCCGGCCAATCAAAACGTTGCCACGGATTACTACAGGAAAGCTCTGTCACTGTAAGTGCCTGATCTCACAAGAGAGTTTCGTATGGTCTTGCACCCGGTGAAGGCGCCGACCAGATTCCCAGTATACTGGATCAACAGGGAAGGGGGAATCATTTTTGTTTTTAAATAATTATTAATTTAATAAATCCTATATACAGACACTACACCACCTATTGACACACACAGTACATGGATAAAGGGGTATGATGGGGGGGCGCTGTGAAGATTTTTCGCACAGGGCGCCTTAAGGTCTAAGGCCGGCCCTGGTTATATAGTGTTCTGTGTGTTCTTGCAGTTGAAACAAATCCAATCCAGGTGTTACAACGTATCCACCTTAAATTAGAGAGAACACAGTCATAGTGAAACACTATAAATATTGATTTATTCCTTTAAAAACCCTTTGTGGAACTCTTAAGTAAGGTGGTGGAACTTATCTCTAAGAACCACAATAAAGCATTGGTGCAGTACAGTGCACGAAGTGTCAAGATGTTTTACCACTCTGTCAGTGAGGAACTGCAGACCGATCATGTGCACATATACATATAGATTGACCTGGGTTCATGTCATGGCTGCTAGTGTGGTCCAACACGCAGAAACTATGTAAACATAAACATAAAAAAGGAAAGGAAAGGAAATAAAAGGACAGAGCATAAACCGGACCTTAGAATTGCCTGGACTAATATGCTAGAGACAGAGAATGATCAAAGGGACAGCCGAGGTCAAGGAAGCCAGAAATACTCAGATACCATTTAAACAAGCCAAGTCAGGAGAACCAGAATTCAGAATAACCAGGGAAAAGCCATGATCAGGATACCAGGAAATCAGATTCACAAAGAATAACGCACTCTCGGGAACCAGGAACAGGAAATTTAAATATCTCTCTGTGGGCTCTGATTGGTCAGAGGGTGACCTCTGACCCCAGAACATGTGGATGCATTGACGTCGTGACGTCACGCGCACGTCCGTATAAATGTTAGGGTCGGAGCTTGTAATGCGCGTGACCACGTGGTCAGTGCCATCTTTGATTTGGGTGTGACGGACAGAAGACGCGGAGGAGAGGTTCCCGGCACCCCAGCGAGCAGGTCAGCTTGCAATATCCGCGAGACCGTGCCAGTCGGGCACGGCTGCACCATGCGGCGGGCCAGGAGCCGCAATAGTACCCCCCCACTCGAAGACCACTCACCAGGCGGCAAGGAGCCGGCTTACGAGGGAAGCGGTTGTGAAACGACTGGATAAGATGGGGCGCATGAACCTGGTCAGCAGGAACCCAGCAATGTTCCTCAGGACCATAACCTTTCCAGTCAACTAGATAAGACAAAGTACGCCTGGAGATTTTGAAGTCCAATATAGAATGAACTTCGTACTCCTCCTGATCACCCACTACCAAGGGCGGAGGAGGAGCAGCCACTTTAGTGTATCGATTGCAAGTAAGAGGCTTAAGCAAGGACACATGAAATGAATTGGCAACTCTCATGTGAGCAAGAAGTGCCGAAGAATAAGTCACAGGGTTGATACGACGGAGAATCCGAAAAGGACCTATGAACCGAGGGGCAAATTTCATGGAAGGAACCTTAAGTTTGACATGACGTGTGAATAACCACACCTTGTCTCCTGGTTAATAGACAGGATTGGCACCCCCTCTCTTGTCAGCTTGGATTTTAGCACGCTTTGATGCCTTCTGTAATGCTGTATGAACGGACTCTTTGGAACCTTCTAAGAGATGCCTCCATTCTTTAAGTGCAAGTACAATGGCCAATAACTCTCTATTCCCAATGTCATAATTTTTCTCTGCAGATGTTAGTTTTCAAGAGAAAAATCAACATGGATGTAAAGGCGATGTTTCTGACGCATCAACTTCTAGAATAAATGGCAAATAAAGATTTTAATTGCTCAAATGCCTCTTTGGCTTCCTTGGGCCATGAATTGCAATTTGCTCCTTTTTTGGTTAGGTTGGTAATAGGAGAGATTACAGAGGAATAACCTTTAATGAATTTGCAGTAATAATTCGCAAAACCTATAAAGCGTTGTGTAGCTTTAAGGCCTTTGGGTAATGGCCATTGTAAGACTGCTTCCAATTTGCGTGGGTCCATTTTGAAGCCAGACGGAGATATAACATACCGCAGAAACTGTATCTCAGTCTGGTCAAACTGGCATTTCTACAGCTTACAGTAGAGGCCGTTGTTTAATAGGGTTTTTAATACTGTTCTCACATGTCTGTGATGTGTTTCTAAGTCTGTGGAATAGATGAGAATGTCGTCTAGATACACTAAAACAAACATGTGGAGATATTCTCTAAGGACATCATTAATGAAATCCTGAAACACTGCTGGGGCATTGCACAGTCCAAACGGCAATACTAGGTATTCGTAATGTCCCATTCTCGTATTAAACGTGGTCATCCACTCATGTCCTTCCTTAATTCTGACTAGATTGTAAGCACTTCTGAGGTCGAGCTTAGTGAAGACTCAGGCCCCTTTTAACCTATCGAATAATTCAGAAATAAGGGGAATGGCATAGGCGTTCTTTATTGTTATTTTATTCAAACCCCTATAGTCTATACAAGGGCGTAGGACTCCTTCTTTTTTAGATACGAAGAAGAACCCAGCCCCAGCAGGTGAAGAGGATCAAAGTATGTGACCCTTTCTGAGAGCATTCTTTATGTACTCTTCTAGGCAAAGATTTTCTTGGGGAGATAATGCATATACTCCCCCTTTAGGGGGCATAGTTCCTGGTAACAATTTTATGGTACAGTCGTAGGGTCTATGTGGTGGTAATACCTCTGACTGAACCTTGTTGAATACCTCTTTTAAGTCCAAATACTGCGGTGGGACTTCTGTGGTTAAGGGAGGCGCTATAGGTACATTGATGGTACCAATTCGTTGTGACACCTTTTTAAACAAAGACCTCTGCATCTCTCACTCCAGCTCACTATTTCTCCTTCAACCCAATCTAAACGTGGATTATGTTTCTGGAGCCAAGGGAAACCCAGTTTTATCGGACATGCTGGAGAAGATATAATTTGGAAAACCATTTCTTCCCAATGCAAGATACCCACTGAGACAGTGATCGGCAGGGTTTCATGCGTGATGAGAGGCTGGGTAAGAGGTCTCCCATCGATAGCCTCTACTGCTATGGGTCTATCTTTCTGCCTTAAGGGCAGGAGATGCTTGGCAGAGAATTCCTTGTCTAGAAAATTCTCAGCTGCCCCCGAGTCAATCATAGCCTCGCACTGTATAGTGGTTTTCTTATAAGACAAAGTAATTTTTATAAGGAAACGGTTCTTTAGGGGACATATACATAACACCTAAGGTCGGTCCCCAAACGTGCCTTAGGTGTGCAAGTTTTCCGACCGAACCGGACATGAAAACCTTTGATGTCCTCTTTTGCCACAATATAAACACAACCCGTCATTGCATCTGTATTGTCTCTCTGCTTCAGTGAGTTTAGCAATGCCCAGTTGCATGGGTTCAGGTTCTGGAGGTGGAGCATGGCTAATTACCACTGGGTTAGAGAAACGAGGGGCTATGGATAAGTTAGAATGTCTAGTACGCTGTTTGTTTTTCTCTCTCTCTCTCTGAGCCTGTTATCAATATCTATCATGTATGCAATAAAGTCATTAAGGTTAACTGGAAGATCTCTGGCTGCGGTCTCGTCTTGCATATTTTCTGCTAAACCTTCGGCAAAGGCAGCTACTAAACCGCTATTGGCCCAGTCAACCTCAGACGCCAATGTCCTGAACTCTATGGCATAATCAGCTACAGAGCGGTTGCCTTGTTTTATTTTCATTAGAGCTCTGGCAGCATTCTTTTCTCTTCCTTTTAGCTCAAAAGTAGCTTTAAATGCTGATAGGAATACATTGTAATCACGGGCAACTGGACTTTCACTCTCCCATAAGGGATTGGCCCAGGTTAAAGCCTTACCAGTTAATTGGTTCATTAGATAGCCAATTTCCGATCTATCTGTAGGGAATGAACCAGGGGAAGCTTCGAAGTGATATTCAATTCGGTTTAAAAAGACTCTAAATTCCTTAGAATCACCTCCAAAGCGAGGGGGAGGTGAAAGGGTTATGGACGGTGGTTTGTGTGCCACATGTGCTACTACAGGTGGCGGAGCCACAGGTAGTACCGGAGGTGCCTCTAGATAGGCAGTTCTCTGGAGCAAGGTCTGGAATGCTTGGGCAAGCTGATCTAACTTGCATGCAATCACACCTTTTACATACTTACAAAGACATATACACTGACAGACATACCGTCACACACACACGCAAACACACTGACAAGCATACTGACACACAGACACATACACAGATGGACATACTGACACACACTGACAGACATACCGACACACACACATATACTGACAGACATACTGACATACACATTGACAGACATTCTGACACACACAGACAGACATATTGACATACACCCGGACATACACTGACAGACATACTGACACACACACATACTGACAGACATACTGACAAACACACAGACACATACACTGACAAACCTACTGACACACACAGACACACACATACACATTGACAGACATACTGACAAAGACACAAACATATTGACACACACACATATACTGACAGACACACACACATTCACACACGCGCAAAATTTACACTTTTAAATTCACTCTCCGGTTCCAACCGTGAAGGGCTTCCATGGTGTCAAGAGTGGTGGCTGAGGCTGTTGGAGGTTGCTGACTGGCAATCCCAGCCCAGTACCCCTCCTCTCTGGTCTCTCCCGCGCTACTTTCTCTGGGAGGAAGTGACTCACGGCAGTCACTTCCTCCCATGCTGCCAAAAATCAAGGGGGCCCTGTTGTGCTGTTGAAGTGCCAGAGCATGCAACTGGGCCCCTGCTTAGTGTGAGGGCCCCAGGCTGCACCGGGGGCCCATGGGGGAATGAGTCATTGGGTGCATGAACTCCCTTTTTATCTAGGTTTATATGACTCCTACTTATCAACCTGTTGATGATGTTTTAATCCTTAACCACAACACAGGTACATTATACCCTTCTCTCAATTACCACATACACCATCCTGTAAATATTCCTATTAGCATTATAATTGTGTCTTTAGATCCCTCGATGTTCCTTTCTCAAGCTCAACCACACACTAATTTGGCAAGATACGTACATTTCAACATATCAATTTATTATGTTTCTATTCCCCTACATTCCTTAGGGATAGATCAACTGGCTGTAAACAGTATTGATGTGGACCATATTCTAGTACTATTATAATTCAGTCCCATCAACTCCCATACTCACACGGAGGTATT